ATATATACTATAACATACCTAGGGGTCGTCTGGTTACGATGCCAGTTCCTCGGGGTAGAAAATCCTTGCCGACTATGTTCTCCAGAACGGAACTTTTGCCACTGGACTGTGCACCTACAACAGTGATCTGAGGCAGTTGCAGTATGTCCTCATCGACTGTGGAAAACACATCTTGAAGCTTGTTGATTACCGGTATGAGTTCGTCCATGGTAAGTTAAGCCGGTACAACTGTTGATTCGTATACAAGCAATCGCGCTAATATAAGGGGATTGTTTTATTCACAGAAAACAAATCCCGGACGTAGAGGTGGGTGTGCGAGAGGTAAGAGGATCGGAAATAGCTATATGAACCACTGTCTATCTATCTACGTACACAGTAATGTCAGTAGATGTGTAGGATATGCATGTATTCAGCTTCCTGTGTCTATTCGCACTTTTATTAAAGGAATAACACCCAAATAGATCCATATATAAAAGTATATTATAATCTCACGTGATGTTTTTATAGATATCTATTTAGCCTTGGGTATGTATAAAAATAAATACGAATTTCAAAAAATATATAGGAATACAGAATAACACTTTCAAACTCTCCAGTCCAATGCCTCTTCAGACTTTCATATGATATCATCAGAGCCCATCTGCCCCATCAGTCCGAGATCCAGAGTGTCCGACACACACAGTCACACACTCACACTGTCCCAAGTCCTAATTCGTGGGACAGGTGCACGTATGACTCATCACGCTATGTCACATCAGTCACAGTCACTCACTGTGACACAGTCTCAACTCACAAGTCACAGCCTCATACTCATAGGCACATACATAGGCCGGCGGAAAACCGGACAAGCGGGCATGAGTCGGTTACTCAAAGTCGTCTCTGGTTTATCGTCACAGGTGACGTCTCTACTCCACAAACTCGATTGTGGCTCATACCATGGCTAGTTGGCTACGGGCGAACGGTAACCTCAATACGTGTAGCGTGTTGCGTAAAAGCGTATATACTGTGGATGAAAATACATTTACGTTTATCGTTACGTGTTGTGCTAAAACGTATACACTTTGAATATGAACGAATACATGTCTACCTTTAACGTTTATATCGTGTGAACGAATACATGTCTACCTTTAACGTTTATATCGTGGTGGCTTTTTAGGGTGTCGATAAATACAAGTGCAGAATCAGAGCTCTAAGGTGCACAGTTTCCAAAAGATGTAGTCAAGCTGTTCGTATAATTCGATAATAGGTCGATTGTTGTTGTCTTCAACCCATTTAACGTTTACCAGCAGATATCAATCGAATAAAGCGTTAACTTGAAATTTTGGTCTTTTTTTATTAGTAAGTGGATTGAGCGCGGCCCATGAGTTGTTATAGGTACCGAACATCTACCGATTCTCCCATCTTATAATGATCTTTGGCGGGAAACTTTATTATATACTGTTGTGTGAGGGGGGGGGGTACTAATAACATATTTGAAATATGATATGTATCCAAAAAATAAATAAAGAACCCTCTGTAGGCTATAGGCCACAGCTATACTGCATAGGAGCGTATAGTATAGAGGTGATAAAATATGTTTGTTTGGATTTATTAGAAGGCTACTATATGATATATTTATTTATTTTAACCTTACGCGAGAAACAACCGATTATTATATGGTGCCGTGGAGATCTATAATAGTTTGATAACAAGGGGTGTATCTTCTGCGGCCATCAAAGCGCGCACACGCATCTCCCAATACTCGTCACAGGAGAAAGTGTAACAATAGTGTATTTAAGGACAACTGCCGATAAATCGTCAACGCATATGTAAATACATTTAAATACATATATATATATATATATATATGTATGTGTGTGTGTGTATACGCATATATAGACTGAACCTCTATAGATTATGGGAGACCACTGGCTTTCGGCTGGTGTACACACCTCAACAAGGCTAGTGAGTACACCACAACGGAGTACATTGTATACTACTAGCGACACATCTACGATGAAAATGTCCTACAGTGTTCGCCAAGATGTCCCAATCACTGGTGCACAGACGATAGCCAAAACATCAGGTATGTGTTTACACGACATCTCATACCGTGTGATACCAATCTCATACTTACATTTGCTCATACGCCAGGTTTTATATACA